TTCGAGCCACTAGAATTATGGTCATCTAACACAGATGCAATCATTCAAATCTAGACGCCCTCGAGACACACAGGTCAATGTGTGTCTAGTTATTTTAGTAGCAGTTCACATGCCCCTATCTAGTTCTTTCCTTTGATTCTACTTATTTATTAATTTGCATCATAACTGACAAATTAATTGTCGATGTCTAGACTATGAAATATTAAAAGCCATCTGTTAACTGGGATCCATTAAAGAATTCATTCTTCATGCGAATAATAAGATATGGTCATTTCCAGAATCTCCCTTTTAAAAAAAAAGGTATTTCTACTACTGTGCACATTTGTGTCCCAGATATTCCTCAGAACAACAGGCTTTTTGACTGAGTATTTACTCACATCCATACCTGCAATCTACAAGATAACTCCAGTTAACATCTGACTTTTAATGCTTCAAGCAGTAGATCCCAAAACAATTGATGAATGTTTTAATTATAATGCGAATTTAGTCCAGGGCGTGTAAAACCTTCCAGTCTGAGAAGGGAACTGCACCCTTATCCGATATCTGCCAATAATTTGTTTTCTTACCTTAGATTTTCTTAACCCTGTGGATCTCAAACTCTACTGGGTATCAGAACCATCTGTAGAACTTGGTAAATATACAAATGCCCAGGCCCCATCCTATTTCAATAAGCCTGGTCTCCTGCCATCTTTTTTTTTTTTTCTTTTTTGCAGTACGTGGGCCTCTCATTGTTGTGGCCTCTCCCGTTGCGGAGCACAGGCTCCGGACGCGCAGGCTCAGCGGCCATGGCTCACGGGCCCAGCCGCTCCGCGGCATGTGGGATCTTCCCGGACCGGGGCACGAACCCGTGTCCTCTGCATCGGCAGGCGGACTCTCAACCACTGCGCCACCAGGGAAGCCCTCCTGCCATCTTTAATAGCGCCTCACATGACTGATATTTACCAAACTTTGAGATTCACGGATGTAGTCTTACGAGATTTTAATCCTTCTAAAAAGAAATATCTCATTGGTTTGAGGTTTGGGGGAACCAAAGGATACAGAAATAGCAGGAAATCCCTGAAAACCATCATTGCCAAGCAAACATGGAAATAACACAGTTCAAAATGTATGTAAGTTTTTTTCACATTGAAACTCTACAAACATTTGGTATAATAAAACCTTGTTAGCTTGATACTATAAGAAATTAAACCCTAGCAATCTTACTGGCGAGGTACAAATTGGTCTCCAGCTGCCTTTTCTGATAGATTTTGATGAGATTGAAGGAGAGCCATATACCTACCAGGAGGGAATGAGCTTTGTCACACCAAAGAGAAGAGGTTTTTGCAAATTCACATCTCACCTAGGTTTTAAATTTTTTGCCATTTTCTGAAATTCTTTAGGGGGTGTGAAGTTGCATTCAGCATATCCATTATCAAGCTAAGGAGGTTCTGTTATAGAGGGGTTTTTTCCCTTTTTCTTTCTTCCTTTTTTTTTTTTTTTTTTCTCTTTTTCTTCTTTTAAATCTGAAGGAAAACGTTCAGGGCTTCTAAACACTAAAGAGAAAATTTTGGCTTAGGCCAGTGTTCAGTCTAGTGCCAAACTTACAGTGAAATTCAAATGCATCTAGTAAGGAATTTATTCAGAGTGGCTATCCTAATAATCTTTCACTTTGCTCTATTCAACTGTCTTAAAATTTCCTGTTTCAAACAGCTATGTTACTTGATTAAAACAATGTTAAAACTTTTTGTCTCTGCTTTAATATTAAATAACCTAAATTTTTGCTTATAAAATTGGAGCATTGAAATCTCAACCAATCCATTAATAAATAAATAAATAACACAGTTAACAGCATCCTCGGCAGGCAGAATTGAAGGAGCCTGGAATCGTGTCTCATCCCTCCTTGGGAATGGAATAGGAATCATATATGCCCTTCTCTTCTTGGGAAAATAATCAAGAATCCTCCTTAAGTAAATCCCTCAAGTTTTCCCGTGACCCAACCAGGGCTTCTTAGGCCCAGATGTGCCGGCAGTGCCCCAACAATAAACCTGCCAATTAAGCAACAGAATATCACTATCATGAATGTAATTACAGACAGTAATTACGAGCTCGTAAACGCCTCTCACGAATGGAGCCCTTTTCCCAAACCACCTCGGACTCTTTTCTTAGGAAAATGGAAGGCAATCCTATCCCTTGCCTCCCTGCAAAAATAACCTCACTTGCTTAGAAGAAATTCCTGCTCTTGCTGGCCCAGGGGACGTGCTGAGCAAACTTTAATGGGCTGTGCTTTAGGGAGGAATGTCCCCTTGGGTGGGGTCCCTTCCATCATCTCTCATCCACGCATGTTGACTAGCTCCCTTCACTAGGGAGCAGTGACTACCCAGTTTGGCTGTATTTCTTAATTTCTGTGCAGGTAGGGGAATTAATACCACATTTCAAGAATTTCTGCAGAAAAATCAAATGTTGGAGGTGCTACAAAAAACTGTGATAACTTTAACATTACTTGAAGTGAAGCATTAGGGACTTCCCTGGTGGCGCAGTGGTTAAGAATCCGCCTGCCAATTCAGGAAGCCCTGGTCTGGGAAGATCCCACATGCCGCGGAGCAACTAAGCCCGTGAGCCACAACTACTGAGCCTGTGCTCTAGAGCCCGCGTGCCACAACTACTGAAGCCCATGCACCTAGAGCCCGTGCTCCGCAACAAGGGAAGTCACCGCAATGAGAAGCCCACGCACCGCAACGAAGATTAGCCCCCGCTCGCCGTCACAACTAGAGAAAGCCTGCACGCAGCAACGAAGACCCAACACAACCAAAAATAAATTTAAAAAAATAAAAATAAAATGGAGCATTACACGGTGCAATTTCCCAAGGAATTAGAGTCCGTGACAATTGAGTAGACATCATAGAAACATGCATGGGTGAGAAGGCTTTTCACTTCTGTAAAAACGAAATGAAACTCTTTTTGCAAAGTTAACCCTTGCATTCAGTGGCTTTATGTTTAGCTCGTGAAAAACTTTTTTTTTTTTTTTTGGCCACACCGCGTGGCATGTGGAATCTTAGTTCCCACACCTGGAATCGAACCCTTGCCCCCTGCAGTGGAAGCACGTAGTCTTAACCACTGGACTGCCAGGGAAGTCCTAGCTCATGAAAACCTCAAACCCTCTTGGATACTAGGTCCTTGAAAGGATTCCACACAGATACGTTTCATCTGAAATGCCATACAATCTCCCAAGATCCTAAGCTATTTTTTTTCTTTTCATGGAAAGTGAGACTAAGTGCCTGTAATTGCAACAGGAGCTGGCACGCTGGAGTCCAGACCTTTTGGATTTACCATGCATTGAATAACGCCCTAGAAACTGAGGAGAAAGAACGCAGGTCTAGTTCACTCCCCTCCCACGATGCCAGCACAGCCCTTTGCATAGAGTGAATTTTCAGGGCTCTTCTCTGAATAAGAGCAAGTATTACATCCCAAAGAGTTGTACGATTTTGTTTAAAGGGGATCATTGGTTACTGGCCAAGTTAGGGTATTTCATGCTGCAGTATTTCCATTGACTGTGACAGAGAAATCACGTGTCGATTATTGCTGTCTTGCGGTAGTTGTTCACAGTCTTCTCCTGTACTAGAAATGAAGTGGAGGGGTATCGGGGTTTCCACACAGTAACCCCAAGACCAGGAAAGGTAAATGCAACTTCCAAAAGGGGCTGAGAACAGATGACACCTTTAGAGAAACCACCCCTAACCAACATCTCTGAAGGCATCTAGTAGCTTTACAGAGGGGGCTTGTGAAAAGCGAAAGCGTGTTTAACCCTTGCATTAAGTAATTTAAAATTCATTTTAAGTGTCTGAACAGCAGCTTTAAATTCCCAGTACTATGCACAGACCAGGATGGACTTGTCTCTCTGATATGGATATTCACGGTCCTTTGGCCCTTTCAGCATAAAAGAAATTCACTTATCGATTAGTCTTTCCATCACTGTCTATAATCACTTTAAAAGTAGAACTCTATATTTTTTTCTCATTTTGACAGACAGTATAGCCTACAAATTTCTGGAAATATGGGTGACCAGATGGATTATGTTTTTTAATGTGACTGCATCTACAAATTATATATATTAGGATACTCCTTTTTATTCTCTACTTTATAGCCGTATTCAGTAAAATATTCAAGGAGGTAAAATTTGCCACCAGGGAAGGTTAGTGTGAGAATGTTTTCATTATATTGTTCTATTGTTTCCCATTCTCTAGAGGGCAGACCTTTAAGTCCCTGTAAATCTAATAGAGAAAACAACATCGTATACATAAACCATAACTGCCTGTATCTCAATGCAAGAGACATGTGGCTTTTCATTCTATCATTAGGGCTCTTAATTTACCCCACAAATAAAGCACGATCTGCTCGGTTCATCTGATCTCCTCGCCTGTTTGGGACAACATTGAAACCATCGACACAGTTTCTCTTGGAAGAGGCAGCCCATTGTGTCAGGCTGTCGGGAGTGGAAGGTGACAGGGAGAACAGAGTTGTCACTCTCACGTAGCCACGTGGCACGTCCCTCTTAAGCAACAGGGTGCCCCTCAGGTCAGCCTGTGATAACACCCAAGTCAAATAAGGCCGAATCCTGGACGTTTTATGTCCTGAGGCTCTGAAAAGTGTCCACGGCCAGCCCTGACCCTCGAGACCTCAAATGGTCATCTAAGCAGTGACATAAATTGGTGTCCACTTGCTCCTGGGCCATCGCTGTCGGGAGCAGGGCTGGCGAAAGGGCAGCCTTCCCATGGAGGAGCTGACATCTTTGTAGGCAGTAAAATCGGGGGAATGTGTTGATTACTCCGACAGGCAATCCAGCGCCGGTGGCTCCATGCCCGAGGCTGACACCCTCTGCATCTTATGACCACTGTCAAGGGGAGGGGTGTGCGAACGCTGTCAGCCCCAAAGAACCGAGAAAGCACTTGCCTTCCAAACCTCTCCATCTCAGCCCCGTCCTGACAATGCCAAAGCTCGTCATCTCGTGTTTTTCAACCCTCCAGAAAATGGCCTTCCAGCCTGGGACAAGCCGAAGCCTTGTCCCCACGGCAAGCAGGAGTGGAAGCTTGTGGGAATGTCTGAAGCCTGCCTGCACAGGAAGAGCCCCCCAGAGAGGCGCAGCGCATTGAAGAATGAACAGTCGCCCCGGCATCTCATCCAGGCCACCTGGACCAGCTCCATATTCCATCTGGACCACGACGATGTGAACGATCAGAGCGTCCCTAACGCCCAGACCTTCCAAACGGAAGAGAAGAAATGTAAAGGTAACCAGATTTTTATTAGACCCCAGTTGCCACAAGGAAAAGAATTTTCTCTTAAGTGTGTGCTCTGTTTCCACTGAGTCCACGTATGGTGTCCATGTGTTTTCCCCAGCTGCTCTCTTCCAGAGTTTCTTTATCCCCATATCTTCTGGGAAGCATAAAATAAGTGGGTTCCAAAGGAAAGCAGTTAATTTCAGTTTCATGTTGGGGCACTTGGGGAGAAGACATTTTTCTTTCTCTAATTAGCAGGAGGGTTGTTAGTTTTGGCTTCACTTCTGTTTTCGAAGCTAAGTAGAAACAGACATTGATATCGTTACGTAACTACTTGCTTTGAAGCGCGCGCGCGTGTGTGTGTGTGTGTGTGTGTGTGTGTGTGTGTGTACATGACTTTTCCCAATTGTGCCAGTAGCTAATGGGATCTCAAAGTCTACCTTTAACCTAAATAGACAATTCATGTTCAAGAGAGAGGTTTGAAGTTGTTTTCTTTTACTCGTTAAGTCCTGTGTCATCATCCTGAAAGGCGAGATTATGGTGTTAGGGGGTTGTCACCTCATAAAAAGATGTTAAACTGGCCTAAGTTTCTGACTGCATTAGATTTAACTGGTCTTTACCTCAGGTCGCCTCCACCCTGACAGATGTCTTTGTGTTGATCGCTTTATGGTCTTAGGGCTTCGCAAAATCTTTGCTTCTTAAATCAATTTGTGTCTTTAAATGTCCAAGTTCATGTGACCTCCCACTCTTTTTCAATTCAGCATTTTTAAAAATAAGGTCTTTTTCCATTTTCTTTAAGGACTTTGACTCATGATCAAGTTATTTTTTTATGGAAGTGTAGTTGATTTACAATGTTGTGTTAGCATGATAAAGTTTTAAATGGTGTATCTGAAAATCTGCCAATCACATACCAAGATATATTAATGAAAGTTTGTAAAGACTCTTATATATGAGCCATGAAGGACTTTTGCAAAGTGTTCTAACTTGAACATAAAACATGATCATATTCATCCCTCTCAAAAAACTGCTGGTCCTTTAACTTTTCTGAAAACACTTCAGAAGCTCCTTGGAACCACCAGTTGACCTGTGAAGTTGGGTGTGTGGATTGTTTCAGATGAAAATAGGATTATCTAGACAAATAATAAAATAGTGGTATGAGCTCTGATTTCAATACAGTCAAAACCATACATGTTCTCTTGGGGAAGATTTGTGTTTGAACTGTCTCTCATCTTTGTTATTTAGGAGATTTGAGAAATTGAAAGGGGTATTTAGAAAAAGAGCAAGATAAGTTTTTCCCAAAAAGTCAGGATATAAAACAGGTGTCTCTGTGTGTATGTGCACACTTGTTTGAAATGCAATTGAGAGTTAGTCTTAGAACTTGTAACCAGGTTGTATCTTCAGATTTTAGGAGCTGGCGTCAACACCACATCAGTCCTTGGTTCACAGTGAAATGCCTTGGTTTACAGGAAACTGCAGTGTCCTCATGATCTAAGGACCTCACAAACTAAATGTGACTTATTCCTAATTGGTACCCATATTCATTCGTTCATTCATTCATGGGCCCATCTCCATCATTTGTGAGAAATCTTAGCCTTGGATGTGTAGAGTTTACGACGCTGTCCAGTTTCCAGTTTGTTGGTAAACCTTAAGAGCAGAAGGAAAGAGTTTCTGTTTGGATCCAAGACCCTAAGTGTTGTAAATACAGTGATTAAGATCACAGATTTTTGAGTCTGCCATATTTGGGCTAGAATCTCAGCCTTTCTACTTTCTGTCCTTGAGCAAACCTATGTGATTGTTGATAGAATTGAAGATAATGGATTTAAGCGCTTTAGCACAATATCTCCCATAGTGCTCTCTAAGCAGCAGCTTCATTCTTGCTGTGACCGTTATGATCAGCTCTGCATCATTAAATCACATAAATTCCTTGGGCTGCGCTGAGTGCCCGGTGAGGGATGAAGAAGGAGACCAGGACAGGTGGGTGTGGGGTGCAGCGTGACATCGCAGGGGGTTTAGATTTGATCATCCATTTCGCATCCATTCAGCTCTCTTTTGCTGCAAGGTGGAGAATTGTTGACTAGGAAAATATACTTAAATTAGTAAATGAAAGGCCTTCCTCCAGATTTTAGTTTTAAAAGGAACGCAACTAAGGTAAACGCTCCCGTAGTTTCCACAGCAACAGCCAGGGTTCACACTGGCATGGACGTGAAGCAATTCCTTGGTTCAGCGTGAAGATGCTGAGGAAGCCTACTGTCATGGCCAAAACTGTAAACTGAATTTCACTCGTTCCCAATGGACACCGGTATTTGATGAGGTGGTGGTGAGGCCAGGGAAACAACTGGAGTGGTTGCCTTTCTTTTCCGAGTTGGGTCCTCTCCATCTACTCGGCTGGCCAGCCACCTCCTCAGAGGATCTGTGAGAAGAGCTCTATTTTGACATCCATCCAGGCTGGGCATTGAGTTCCTGGCTCTCTCTGTCTAGCCTGCAAGCGTGCCTGGTATCTCTTTCCTGGGCTACCATTCCATGCCTGCGTCCCATCTGTGTTTATTAAGTGCCTACTATGTACAGGAGATTGTCCTTCATATCCTTGAAGAAATAGCAGCAGGGCCAAAAATCCATCCAAGTACCCCCATTTCAAGGACTCCAAATGGAATTGATGAGAACCAAATGACCCTTAAAGATACAGAAAGAATCTGCAGTGAAGGAGCCATAAGAACACATGGGCTGTTTGAAGTTCTGCAAAAGCCCATCTCCCAAATCAGTCATCTAGCCAGTCTAGACCAATGCGCCTCTGAGTGTGTGTGTGTGTGTGTGTGTGTGTTTTAATTAATTTTTATTGGAGTATAGTTGCTTTACAATGTTGTGTTAGCTTCCACCGTACAGCAAAATGGTTTGTGGTTGGGTACCCTTCTGCAAACTATTACTTCCTACCCGGTTCTACTGATGCAAGTACAGAAACCGAGAAGAAGCTTTAGAAACAGTCCTAGCCAATTAGCATCGCCACTGGCGTTCAAAGGCATGATCAGTGGATCCATCTCACTGAACAGGGTAGAGTCTGGTTGGATATTGTCAGACTCGCTTGGTCGGTCACACAGGGCTCTGTATAAAAATCTTGTGCAGCAGAACCAAGGGTTGGGCCATCGTGGACGGAATATTTTGTAAATTATTCGAGATTTACTGATTTATGCTTTGCAGTATTCTTTTTCTTTTCTTTTTTTAAATTTAATTTTGCCTGTGTTGGGTCTTCGTTGCTGCGCGCAGGCTTTCTCTAGCTGTGGCGAGCGGGGCCTTGTTGTGGAGCACGGGCTCTAGGTATGTGAGCTTCAGTAGTTGTGGCACGTGGGCTCAGTAGTTGTGGCTCGCGGGCTCAGTAGTTGCAGCTCGTGGGCTCTAGAGCGCAGGCTCAGTAGCTGTGGCGAACGGACTTAGTTGCTCCGCGGCATGTGGGATCTTCCCGGACCAGGGCTCCAACCCATGTCCCCTGCATTGGCAGCCGGATTCTTAACCACTGCGCCCCCAAGGAAGTCCCTTTGTAGTATTCTTAATGTTTTTCTCTAGGCTTATTTTTGGTAGGTACTGAATGCCTTCTTTTTCATTTTGATCTGAATACTGCTTTTATTTTAATCTGCATGTACGTATGCTCCTATGTGCTACAACCATTGTAAGGAAATTAATTGGTAACACATTTAAATGAAATGAGAGCCCTGGAGCCCTGACATTCTGCTGCATATCCCACAATTCAAATCTGCTCTAGTGCCAGAGGCTATTTCCAGCCAGAAGCAAGTGACCCTGTTCCCCTCCCCCAGCCACGCTGCTCGCCTTAGAGTGTTTGTCACAATGTGAGCTAATTGCTCAACGGTGAGGACCACACCCTACTCCCCGCCCACCTCCTCCCTTCCCAGAGTCTGAGATGATGCTCCCAGCTCTCCAACCAGTGGCACTAGCAGCACCTGGACCTCTTAGAAATGCAGAATCTCGGGCCCCAGACTACTGAGCTGGAAGCTCTGGAAAGGGGCCCAGGAATCTGTATTTTAACCAGCCCCCTGAGCAATTCTTAAGACTTGAGCATCAGGAAGTGCCTGAGAATATGGACAAGCTCTTAGTACCAGTAAAGGAAAGTGTCTGCCACCTAGTGGACACTCGGGGAATGTGCATTTTAATTCCTTTCCTTGAGCGCACCTTGGGGAGCCACCTGAGTCTCTCCATTCCTGATGGGTCCTCCCTTTAGGCCTGGCTTCTCTTAATTGCCAACCGGGTGTTCTGCTCAATCACTCTGCCCAGTAACATCCCTCTGGGACTTGAACCCTTCTGAGAGTCCCACTCTGTTTGGCTGGAGCCCAGCTCTTCCTCCAAGTTCTTACAAGGCTTCTCCCCTCAGCCCTCTCATACCCTCCCGAGCTTCTCTCTGGGAACCACAGGTCCCACCAGCCCCACAAGGATGGGTCCTGGACAGATGCACGCACGGATCTTGTCAGCCCTGCTGAACCCAGACAGTCAGACCTCCAGCCTGGATGTTTGCCCTTGATGTCAATCAGGGACTTTCCTGAAACACTGGAACCTGGTGGAAGAAACAAGGCAGGGAATGACCCATTTCCAGGGTTGCATCAGAGAAAAAGATAGCAATCTGGTGAGCTCACTGAATTTTCTCTGTAGGTCCGTTCTGTGTTTAGTATCAAGAGAATTGAATCTCAGATACCCAGAAAGGCAAGAAAACATAGTCAAAATAATTTTACTAGGAAGTTACTTTCTCTCACTGTAAAAGCCCCCCATGTACGAAAAGTAAAATTTTCCCAAAAGTTCAACAAAAATGACTTTTAGAGATCGTTTGTAATTCCATCCTCCAAGGATATTAAAATCTTTATTATAGTTCAGTCTGTTTTTCTGTGCATATCTATGTCTTACAAACTTGGAATCATACTAGGCATACCATCTTTAACCAGCTGTTAAGGCTTAACATTATATCATGAACATGTTCCCTTGTCATTAAATATTCTCCTGAATCCTGACTTTTATTG